AACACGTTTTTTACGACTTACTCGGCGTTTTTTATTAAAAAGCGCGTTTTTACGATTTTAACGAGAAATCTCGAATAAATCGTATAGTTTAGGCAATGTTCGGTGTTTCGTTTAACCGTTGCCGTTTTATACGATTTCCTCGAGTTCTTTCCGAGAAAACGAAGTTTTACGGTTTTTATCGTAAAACTCGAACGGTAAGTCGGATCGAGATGGAACGGGAGATATTTCGGCCGTGGTTTAGAATGCGACTTTGTCGAAAAGAGGTAAGTTTCGAATCGGGAATGCGGGAAATCAAGACGCGGAGTGTCCGGGAAGTCTCTAGTTCGCCCATCGGCGAACTAAGCCAGGACCAGCTTAGTTCGCCAATGGGTTGAATCCTAATCTTTTCATTTGCAGTATGGCCACATGGAGTGCCTCAACTTCAACATCCAATGGCGAACCAATTGAATCGATGGCCGCTTTGCCTTGGAAAAGAAATTTTGCTTCATTAGAGTAGAGTGCCTAGCCTGTACTTGCTTTTTCATCAGACGGTTGTCCATGATCCATCTACAAAACAACGATAACTCTTCGTGTTTTGTACTACATCCCTTTTTCTATTTGAGGGTTATGCAAGTTGTGGGGAGTGGCATTCTCAGAAGAGTCTGAATATTGCAACTCTGACTCTTGTGCTTCATCCAGAAATTCCGATCAATTAACAATCTATTAATAAATCGGAATGTCCATCTCTTTCTCCATTGAATACTAGGTTGTTTTTCATTTTTCCTGATTCTCCAACCAATAAAGTATAATACATTTATATCATTTCCTTGGCTTTTTCAATGCTAATAATCGAGTTTATATTTTTTAGCTGTTTAGCATTGAGTTCAGGAATCTGCATTCTTGTGTAATAAAGCAAGATTCATATCTTTGCTAATGCGGCATTCTGATTGCTCTCCACAGCTTTGGCAGGTGTCGTCAACTGAAATATTCTTCTTAAGTAAGATTGTAAATTAACTGCTTTTAGTCAATTAGAAGCCGTTTAATAGTTTAATAGTAATTTTGAAGTAAAATAAGAATAACATGCAGAATAGATAAATGGCATTCATCAAATCCAATCTATTTCACCGTATTACGGAATACACTAATCAAAGGTGAGACAAAAATAATTCAGTGCATGTGGTGTTAACTGTGAGGACTAAGGAGCAGAGTATAGGGAAATTGAGCTGTATAACTACAAAACAAAGCATAATTAAATATCTAACAAAAAAAAAAAATACTTTCACAATTTCTATAATATATATTATATTGTCCTTCGTATCCGGTTGATCAAATATCAAAATATCTTCTTCTTCTTTGATTACCAACCTACCTACCACCACTCTTCTTCCATCTCTATCTCCTTGTCATCCATCACCGTATCATCACCATTTATACTGCGTTTTATATTTATCATCATCTCTCTTTAGACACTTTTTTTTTCTATAATCTATATTTATTTTTTTATAATGTATATCACTTCATTCATATTCACCTTCATCAATGATTCACCATCACCATAACCACCACAAACTATTTCCAAATCCAAAATCTTCATTTCTGAAATCTACAAACCATGACAGTGTTACGGTCAAGGCGTCCTTGTAAATTCTCGGTTGTACTTTGCCATTTGAACAGTCTGTACTATGTTATTTCGTTACTATTCTATTTTAATAATGCTTCATATTATGTACTATGTAGATAATTTGATATTTGGATTTGAGTTTATATTTCTTTTTAGGGTTTAATGATTAATGTTTTGGGTTTAATTTATAGAAGATTTGGGTTGACATTGGGATAATCATTACTTACTTTTTTGCTACATAGACATTTCAAAATTTGAAATAATATGTACTATACCATTTTGTTTGTTACTATTCTATTTTTATAATGTTTTTGTTATATTCTATGTGCGTATTTTGATATTTTGGTTAGAGTTTATATTTTATTTTACGGTTTAGTGATTAGTGTTTTAGGTTTGGTTTATGAAATGTTTAGATTGGCGATGTAGGTAAATCCTATAATTATAGACTAATATGAACTATACCATTTAACATGTTCTATTCTATTTATATAATATTACCATAATCACTATCGTGGATGCTATAGACACCACCACTCTTACATCTTCCATCTCCACCACTTATTTTCCATCACGAACGATACTCTCATCACAAATTTCACACTGTGCTTTCCATTTATTATATCTTTAATCACAATTTTTTTTTATAATCAATATCTTTTTTCGGGTTTATATTTTTTTTAAGGGTTTAGTGATTAGTATTTTAGGTTTATTTTTAATGGAAGGTTTGGGTTAACTTTGGAATAAGCATTACCTCATTCTATGTAATAGTAAACATTTCAAAACTTGAACATTTATCTATACTATGTTATTTCGTTTGTTACTATTTTATTTTGATTATGCTTCCTAATATGTATTATGTACATATTTTGATATTTGGGTTAGGGTTTATATTTTCTCTTAGGGTTTAGTGATTAGTGTTTTGAGTTTAGTTTATAGAAGGTTTGGGTGAATATTGGGTAAGCATTACCTTATTACCTATAATTATAGACATTTCAAAATTTGAACAAAATGTACTATATTATTTGTTACTATTCTATTTGCATACTATTAATATGAACTATTCCATTTAACATGTTTTTCTATTTAATCTGTTTATCTTCTTCCGTAACATTATCTCTTTCTCTGATCATGGCAGTCATAATAATCCTTATAAAAGATCACTGCTTCATTTGGAGTGACAACCCATATTTCACCACTATTCACACTTACTGTTGCGATAGCCATTTATCACTGCTGCGGTGCCGTAATAATCACCAGCGTCATTTCAATTTCTTTATAAATTTATGGATCACTATTTTTTTGTATTACTGGCAACCGAGTAAAAAAAAGGACAAAACCGGGAAAAATAGCACAAATGCTATGAGATCTAATAATGTCACAATCAATGCTATATTCTTAATTTTGTTCACAAATATGTCTATTTGGCCAATTAGCCCAAGAGTATATATCCCCGAATAAACTATATAAATCAAGTGTTGATCAAAAAAGAAAAAGAAAAAAAGACTATAAATCAAGTGGGGAGCACATTGGTTTCGCTGTCATGTTCTAATCTATCATATTGGGACCAATGTATGATTGATTGTTTCGAACAACCTCAAGTTTGGTACCTTATTATCTCATCATATTCCACAATTACGTTCTTTTCATATATATATATATATATTTCTTTTTTTTTTTGAAACACACATTCTTTTCATATATGAATATGCGTTTATGTACATAAATATGTATATACACATGCGTCCATATATATATATATATATATATATATATATATATATATATTTACTTTGGCTCTGACTGATATTAGCGTGACATAGAGTAAATGTAAAGATAAAAAGCAGCGTAACACAAAAGAGGTGGAATGAGAGAAGTGAATAAACATTGCATGATTACCCTGGCCAACAGTGGCCAGAAATTTTTTATAGTGGGGTCAAAAAATTTTTTAACCATAATTTATAAAACAATCGCAAACTATAAATTTATTTAACGATGACTTATAATTTATTTATTTTTTCACGTTTTAATTAAAAATTTTAGAAAATTTTCATTAAAATACTTAGAAATTTTAATATTTTTATCTTTGAAAAACATTTTTAATGGTTGTCGTATCAACATACAAATTCAAAAACAACTTCAAAATTTTACAAACCAAACGTTGAAAAATACTCTCTGGATTATATTAGTTTTTGGTTTATAAAATTTCAAATCAGCAAAAATTTCATCTTTTTCTACATTTGATCACAATAATTTTTTTTCATA